GCTCCACTTACCTGCCCACTCACCATAACCCTTAATTCCTTTACTGTTCAAAAATTTATCTAGCCTTGCCTTAAAAACATTTAGCGAGGTAGCTTCAACCACTTCACTGGGCAGGGAATTCCACAGATTCACAACCCTTTGGGTGAAGAATTTCCTCCTGACCTCAGTCCTACATCTGCTTCCCTTTATTTTGAGGCGATGCCCTCTAGTCCTAGTTTCACCTGCTAGCAGAAACAACCTCCCTGCCTCCACCTTATCTATTCCCTTCATAATCTTATATGTTTCTATAAGATCTCCTCTCATTCTTCTGAATTCCACACACACACACACACACACACACACACACACACACACACACCTGTCCTCTCTCATACACACACTGTCTCTCAAGCGCACGCACACTCTCTCTCTCTCTCTGTCTCTCTCTCTCTCTCCCCACCCCACACTCTCACTGTCCCAGGCACACAGTCTGTCCACACACACACATACGCGCGCGCATGCACGCAGAACCACACAGGCTCACAGATCCTCTCTCATACACACACTGTCTCTCAAGCACACATACATAATTGTCTCTCGCACACACTCTCTCTCTCCCACACGCACGCTCTCTCCACCCCCCCCCCCCACACACACACACTTGCACACAGACCCTCTCTCATACACACACTGTTTCTCAAGCGCACGCACACACTCTCTCTCTCTCCCACACACTGACTCTCTGTCCCACACACACACACACACACACTCTCTCTCTCTATCTCCCCCCCACACACACATGCACACACGCACAGATCTTCTCTCATACATACACTGTCTCTCAAGCGTGCACACACATACACACTCTGTCTCGCACGCACGCATACACACATACACACATGGGCGCGCACACACACCCTCTCTCTCCCTCTCCCTCACGCACACACACACACATTCTCTCTCTCTCCCTCATATACACAGACACACACTCGCACGCTCTCATGCTCTCTCTCCCTCACATACACACACACACACGTGAATCTATGGAGTGAATTTGTATTTGCAAATACATTCTATTTTGTTCAAAAAGCACACAATTTATAGATAGTCAGTCAATGTGGCATTTATAAATTCCTACTTTAGAAATAAAACCAGCCTGACTCCAAACCAAAACACAAACCATTTCCAAACAGGGCCTCACACTTAACATGCATTTTTGACCTAAAATGTCACCTCTTTTTTACATGGGTAAAACCTTTAGTTCTCTCAAGACAGTGACTTGAAGGAATTCAGGGATTTACATATACATATTAATCAATTAAAACCTTCTAACTGTTTAAAGATTTAACAGCATCTTAGGCTTATTTAATACATCCTCATCAGTGGTGTGACCCTTTGATCTTTCACTTATAAATTCACTGCCTGATATTACCTCTCTCACTACCACCTGAAGAAGGGGTGAGGCTCTGAAAGCTTGTGTTTTCAAATAAACGTGTTGGACTATAACCTAGTGTTGTGTGATTCCTGACCTTAAATCTGAAACATTTGTTTCAGCTGCAGTTCACACAAAGGAGAGACAGACAAACAAATGATGCATAGATGTGAACTCCTTGGTTACTTTTCTGGAGTGGTTGATCCGGGTCACCTTTTTAAGTTCATTCAGCTAACTCAGCTTTCTACTCTTTGAGCTTCTGAAGGCTGGTAAGGGAGGTTGTACAGGGGCTTTTCAAATCTTCATGATATGTCATCAGCAGCCAAACTCTTCTCCCCAGAAAACACAGTTCACAAAACAACTTGAACTCTGGTTCTGCCCTGACAGACTGTTTGTCTTGTTCTGAATCCTCGACTACCATTCAGCAGCTGCCACCTACTTAAATATAGGGTCTCTTCCTCAGTTTCCTGAACCAATTCTCAGGTATTGATGTTGTTAATAGCCAACTTCTCTCTGTTTAAAGACAATGTGCTTCCCAGAGTTGCTATGTCTATGGGAACCATTCTAATCAAGAATCAGCCTGCAATTAACCTCCCAGCCTGACCTCACAGGCAAGCAAAAGCGTGTTTGATCTGTTCTTTTCCTTCTACCACACAAAAGTCCAAAGGTCATCTTCAGCCCACAATTCCTAGTACATAGCTCCAAACTAAAATTGACAAAGGAATGAAAGTAAAATAATGAAAAATCAGCTATGGTTCTTTCCAAAGAATTGGTGAGACTGGAGTGTTTTGCACAGTTTTGGTCTCCTTATAGAACCATAGAAATGATATAGTACAGAAGGGGACAATTCAGCCCATTTTGTCTATGCTGACCCAGCATCTAAGGAAGGATATACTTGCTACTGAGGGGAGGTAATGGGGTTCACCAGATCAATCTGGGATGCAGGATTGCATTAGGAGAAGAGAGTGGGAAAACCGGCCCTGTTTTCTCCTAAGTTTAGAAAATGAAGTGAGCTTGATGGAACTCATAAAATTAATACAGTGTGTGACATATTAGATGAAAGTGTCATATTTCCCCTGGTTGGTGAGTCTACAAATAGGCCTCATATTCTCAGAATAAGGGGGAAGCCTTTTAGGACTGAGATGAGGAGAAATTCCTTCACTCAGAGAGTGGTGGATCTTTGGAATTCTGTACCCCAGATCAGATCACTGTGTAAGCTTGATCAATCAGTTTGTTTGAGACAGAAATCATTGACTAGAAACTCAGTTGGACTCACCACATAAACACAGTGGCTACAAGAGTAAGTTGGAGACTAGGAATACTACAGCAAATTGTTAACTTCCTGACTCCCCAAAGCCTGTCCACCATATAAAGGCACAAGTCATGCATGTGATGGCATATTCCCCACTTGACCAGATGGGAGCAGCTCCAACAATGCTCAAAAGTCTTGACACCATCCAGAACAAAGCAGCCGGCTTGATTGGTACCATATACACTAGCATCCACTCCATCCACCACCAATGCTCAGTAGCAACAGTGTGTACTATTTATAAGATGTACTGCAGAAATTTACCAAAGATCCTTACAGAGCACCTTCCAAACCCATGATCATTTCCGTCTAGAAGGACAGGGACAGCACGTATATGGGAACATCACCACTTGCAAGTTCCCCTCCAAGCCACTCACTATCCTGACTTGGAAGTATACTCACTTTGTCAAAATTTTGGAATTCCCTTCTTAAAGCCATTGTGGGTCAACCTACAGCACGCAGACTGCAGTGGTTCAAGAAGGCAGCTCACCATCACCTTCTCAAGGGCAGCCAGGGATGGGCAACAAATGCTGACTGGTCAACCAGTGACATTCATGTCCTACGAGACAGTAAACAAAAAAGCACATGGGAATAACATGAGAAAGTGGCAGTGGGGCAGATGATCACCTGTAATCTACATGATTGGTGAACTAGGTTCAAGAGGTTGAATGACCGCTTTCTGTTCCAATTTTACTACTTCACTGCCAGAGTGACACCCTTAAATACTTTAAATCCATGTAAAACCTTTTCCATATAATTGACCATTTTTAACAGATGCCTGTGATAAAACAGAGTATTTTACCATTGACCAGAAAGTGAACTGGACCAGCCATGTAACTGCTTTAGCCACAAGAACAGGTCAGAGTCTAGGAATCTGCAGCAAGTAAACTCACCTCCTGATTCCCCAAAGCTTATCCATCATCTGCAGTTTTCTAGGAGGAACCTGTAAAGCTGTTCCTTGACTTTGATGGCAACATGCACCCTGCTACTACAGAACAACTGCTGGATGGTATGCCCTACTAACCACTGAGGCGTTCTGTCTGTCTTGTTTTACCTTGATTTCATGGGCATCTCCACATGAAACTGCCCTTTCCTACTTCCTGCACCCTTAGCTATGAATAATGGTAGTGATGCTGAAGCCCTTTCCGTTGGACAGTGGTCCCGGGAACAGAACTAGTATATGCTGAGGAAATTCCAGCCGACTGATGGGATGGTTCTGATGGTAATGAGTTTACAATTAATTTAAATTGGTCTCCATCAGTTTTGCAGTGTGTAGAAAGTGTAAGTTGTGGTTTTCTTGTCGAAAGAATGGAGGTATTTGACTAGAGGAAGACTGGGACAAATCCACAGATGAATTCTTGTGAAAGAACGGGCTGGCAGAGGGACCACATGCGCATATGTCATGTTGACTGGCACGATGATGTCTGGAGTATAGTCTTTTGTTATAGTTTTTTTTATATAGGGGAGGCAATGGCCTAGTGTTATTATCGTTGGACTGTTAATCCAGAGACCCAGATAATGTTCTGGGGACCCAGGTTTGAATCCCGCCATGGCAGATGGTGGAATTTGAATTCAATAAATATCTGGAATTGAGGATCTAATGATGACCATGAATCCATTGCCAATTGTCAGGAAAAACCCACCTGGTTCACTAAAGTCCTTTAGGGAAGGAAACTGCCATCCTTACCTAGTCTGGCCTACATGTGACTCCAGACCCACAGCAATGTGGTTGACTCTGAACTGCCCCCTAGGCAATTAGGGATGGGCAATAAATGCTGCCTAGCCAGTGATGCCCTCATCTGTTAATGAATAAAGAATAAAGTTAAATGGCAGTCATGCTTCTACTAAGAGTAATAGTATTGCAATTGTGTTATTATTACTGCTCAGGCATTAGCATGTGTCAAGCCATATTGATACTGAATAATATTTAACCACTGAATCCAAAAAAAATTATCATTTTGAATAATTTCAGAACTGAAGAATGAAGCAGTTAAAGGGCTAATTAACATTCCCTGATTCCAATAGTGTTGAATGGACGAACTGCAGTTTTGACCTTGCTAATATGGAGTGAATAGGTCCCAGGTTGCTCCTGCATGGATGGAGGACAGGCTGAATTCATTTTGTAGAGAGCATAAACCACACACTATTACCATCACAGCCATGTATGGATTACAGGTTGGCCTCGCCGGTGTATATTGTATAGACTGAAACTTGACCACCAAGTTTAGAGCTTTGAAGCACAGTACTAATGCTACATGTTTAATTTGTCCTGTTCTACAGGAATTCCTCATGATCATTGTATTTGGAATGGAGTATGTGGTCCGAATTTGGGCAGCTGGCTGCTGTTGCCGATACAGAGGATTGCAGGGGAGGCTCCGATTTGCTCGAAAACCATTCTGTGTAATTGGTAAGAAATGCTAGATTGCATGACATACTTGAAAACATATTTGGATCCCAGCAAACATAAAGCATTTATATTAATAAAATAGAGAACATGTTTCTTCTGTTAGCACCTGGTCCATAGCTGACTATTTCCTGGCATTTTAAGTGCTTATCCAGATGCTTCTTAAATGTTACAAGAATACCTGCTTCCACCACCTTCTCAGGCAGCGAGTACTGTATTTCTACCGTCCTCTGAATTTTTTTTTCTCAGATCTCCTCTAACCACCTATTTCTCATCTTAACACATTCCCTCTGATCTTAGACATGTCTGCCAAGGGGAAAATATTCTCATGATCTACCCTGCCTGTGCTTCTCATAATTTTGTATTATTCGATGAGATCCCCCCTCCCCTCAGCCTCCTGTACTCCAAAGAAAATAACCCAATCTATTCAGTCTCTCCTCATAACTGAGATTTCTCATTCCAGGAAATATCCTAGTGAATCTGCTGTGCATCCTTTCCAGTGTAATCTCGTCCTTTTGATGGTGTGGCGACCAGAACTGCACACAGTATTCTATCTGTGGCCTAAGCAATGTTTTATAAAGTTGTAACAAGACTTCCTTGCTCCTGTATTCCTTGCTCTGGCTAATGAAGACATGCATCTTCTTCACTACCCTGTCTACATTTAAGCGACTCTTGGATAGGACATGGATGATTGTAAAATGTAGGGTAGGCAGGGTAGTTTGATCTTAGTGTAGGATAATAGGTCGGCACAGCATCATGGGCCGAAGGGCCTGTGCTGTGCTGTACTGTTCTATGTTCTATGCTCTACATGCCATGACAACTTCAGGAATCTATGGATTTGTACTCCAAGGTTCTTTTGTTTCTCAGTGCTCCCTAAGGACCTGCCATTCATTGTGTTTATCCCTCCCTTATTAGACCACCCAAAGTGTGTCACCTCACACTTATCAGGATTAAATTCCATCTGCCATTGCTTTGCCCAATTTAGTGACTGATTAATATCAGACTGTAGGCTGAGACTATCCTGCACATTGCCATTAACACCACCAATTTTCATGGCATCTGCAAACTTAATAATTATACCTGCTACATTCACATCCAAGTTGTTAATGTATGGAACAAACAGCAAGGTTCCCAGCTCTGATGTCTGTGGTACATCGCTGGCCATAGGCTTCCAGTCATAAAAACAATCCTCTATCCTCACCCTTTGCATCCTATTTGTAAGCCAGTTTTGGATCCCGTTTGCCAACTTGTCTTGGATCCTGTGAGCCCTTACCTTTTGGACCAGCCTTCCATTTGAGAACTTGTCAAAGGCCTTACTGAAGTCCATGTAGACCACATCAACTGCACTACCCTCATCAATATGTTTAGTCACCTTTTCAACAAACTCAACAGATCCATCTGACAAATCCATGCTGGTTATCCACTATCAATTTCTACATTTCCAAGTGTTGACTAACCCTGTCCTTCAGAATTTTTTCCAAAAATTTTCTTACATTTGATGGAAGGGTAGAGGGAGATTTACTATGCATGTAACCCCGTGCTGTACCTTCCCTGAGTCTGTTTGATTGGGAACAGTACAGAGATACTGGAGAGTTGTAGGGCTGGAGGAGGCCATGGTGGCTCAGTGGTTAGCACGGCTGCCTCACAGCGCGAAGGACCTGGGTTTGATTCCAGCCTCGGGCAACTGTATGTGTGTAGTTTGCACGTTCTCCCCATGTCTGCATGGGTTTCCTCCAGGTGGTCCAGTTTCCTCCCACAGTCCAAAGATGTGCAGGTTAGGTGAACTGGCCACGCTAAATTGCCCATAGGGATGTGTAGATTAGTTGGGCTGTAGGGGGATGAGCCTGGGTGGGATGCCCTGAGGTTCAGTGTGGACTTGTTGGGCCAAAGGACCTGTTTCCACCCTGTAGGGATTCTATGGAGAGATAGGAAGAGATTTTCAATGCGAATCCTAAAATTTTAAGGCATATCTGGACTAGTAGTCAATGTAGGTCAGTGAGCATGATGATGATTGGGAATTGGAATTTGATAGTGTTGTGATATGGACAGCAATTTTTGGATGCACTTAATCTTATGAAGTGTGCAAGTTCAAGGGCCAGCCAAAAGGCCATTAAATTGGTAAGACTGGCAGAGGGGATAGGAAAGGGAGAAGCAATTTTAGCCATGAAACAGTGTTTTTGGAAAGTGTTTAGAAATGATAATCTAGGAGAAAATTAACAGTTAATAGGACATGTGTAGGTTAATTAACCAGTGCAGCATAAATTTGTTAGAGGCGAATTGTTTTTAACTAACTTGATTGATGTATCATAGAAATTTGGTGGCATTGTGCAGCTGATGGATCCCAAAAAATGTTTGACAAAGTCTTAAAGATTTTGTCATCAAAGTTGAAGCCTTTGGAATAAAAGGGACAGTGGCAGTAAGATTATGAAATTGGCAAGTGACGCAAAACTGAGTGGTGGAACAGTATTTTCTTAACTAGTTCAAGGTATAAAATGTGGTTCTGAGGGCTCGGTATGAAACCAATGCTTTTTTCAGATATATCATTGACCTACACTTTTGTCTGCAGGGCACAATTTGAAATTTGCTGAGAGCACCAAACGTAGGAATATAATGAACTGTGAGAATGATTGCGATAGACTTTCATCACACATTCGCTGGTTGAATGGGTGGACAGGTAGCACATTAATGCAGAGAAATGCAAAATATTTTGGTCAGAAGAATGATGTGAGGCAATATAAGCTAAAAAGTATGATTCTGTAAGTATGCAGGAATAGATTATTGAAGGTGGTGAAAGTTTACATCAAGACATGCAAATCACAGGTATATAAGTAGAGGCACAGGGCTCGATTTCCCCCTACCACAGCAGCTCAAAATTGAATCATGCAGAATAGATTACTGTGATTATTTAAAATTTGTCATTCTGGCATTTCTCCTGATAAGTGCAAGATGGGATGCTTCAGCAACATGTTTCCCTCTTCAGCAATATTTTAATAATGATTCCTGGAACTGAAAAAGCTTTAGAACATCTGTTTAGGAACTCTCTCCCTGTAGCTTACTTGAAACAATTGTAAAGCTCAACCAGAGACTGGGAAACTGTGAACCTATGCTGTTTTAGCTGATCACAGCTAAAGCAGCAGTAGTGGGTAACAGGGATCTCTTCCTGTCCACTGATGTCAAGTGAGGATTGTATTTGGCTTGAGTGCTGTCATCTTTTCTTGTAGGGGCTCCAATTTAGCTATTACGTGTACGTAACACCTGTGCAATTTAATGCTGCTGTCAGTCAGCATTTACTGAAGAGCAAATCAAGAATTATTTATTTTAAAATTTGAAAATACGGTAGTAATACAGAATGCAGCAGGCTGATCAACTTCTAACTTCAGTTGATTGGTCAGCACTTAATATCTCAGTTACGTAAGGCACAAATGATCATACTTCTGTCCAGGATGTAAAACAGCTTAAAGCTGAAAATTCAAACTTCTGAGCAGCAGCAGTAAAGTTACAATGGCATCTTGCTCATAATGTTAGACGAACTGAAAAATTAGATTCTGGTGACAGGGAATGAATCAATTGCTTTTAAGATTTTTTAAAATATGTTTAATAGCTGTGGACCGAGTTCCGAATGGGATTTCTACCTTTTGCCTTCCTCCCCAAATCTCCCCTCTTCCACACTTCATATTCCATCAGCGCTAAAAGAGGGAGGGGTTGCCTTCTAGTCTTAACGTTAATTTTAGCCACAAGTTTATAGTTACCGATAATGTCCAGTTCTTATTTTCATCATTGACCTCTACAGCCTTTCTGACATTTGGCTTCCAAATTCCAGGACTTCTCTGCTGTTAAAATTAAATCAGCCCACTGAACTACACTGTTAAAATCAGTTGCTTAAGGTTTAAGGTAACCATGTAAAGTTAAATGCCTATCTCCCTCTCGTGCTGTTAGCTATTCAATGTATGACTGTTCTACTTATACTGAAGGTTGTTGATTGAAATTTTGTACTGTAGTTCTTGGTCAGAAATTCATTACCATTCTCCATTAGAATCATAAAATCCCTATAGTGTGGAAATAGGCCCTTTGGCCCAACAGATCCACACCAGCCCTCCGAAGGGCATTCTACCCAGACCCATCCCCCTACGCTTTTCCCTGTAACCCTGTATTTCCCACGGCTAACACACCTAATCTGCACATCCATGTACACTATGGGCAATTTAGCATGGCCAGTCCGCCTAGCCTGCACATCTTTGGACTGTGGAGGCATCTGGAGCACCTGGCGGAAACCCACGCACACAGACAGTCGCCCGACGGTAGAATCGAACCCGGGTCCCTGGCGCTGATTGGTATAATACAGACTTGTATTATCCAAAATGAGGGTTGAGATAAAAATTTTTAAAGCTGTTTATTTAAAAGCAACAGTTTAGATATGGTAGATTAAGTACTTTTACAAAAATGATCATATTTCAATCAATATTGAAAATGTATCGATATAATTGGGTGTTTGCTGGGAAATTTGACGAAGGGGACAGATAAGTATTAATCTCTGATGATGAGGGACTCCAAAATACCACTGATCTCAAGGGCTCCCTTTTTGAAGTTTTGGCTGAAACTTGTGTGGGAGCCCATCTCCAGATCTCCTCCTCTTCCCATGCTCCGTGGTCTTTTCTCTAATGTCGATGTCTGTTTATGAATGGATAGAGGACGCTAGATATCAGGGAGAGTTACAGAATTGTACAAGGGGAAGGTGAGGTGCAGGGGACTGTGAGAAAAATGTATAATGTTATGACTGCTGGGGAAGTGATGACCTAGTATTATCACGAGAGTGTTCATCCGGAAACTCAGCTAATGTTCTGCAGATCTGGGTTTGAAGCCTGCCGTGACAGATATTGGAACTTGAATTAAATAAAAAAGTCCGGAATTATTCTACCAATGACCATGAAACCATTGTTAATTATTGGAAAAATGCATCTGCCTCACTAATGTCCTTCTGGGAAGAAAATCTGCCATCCTCACCT